AGGGGGCGGGCGAGGGCGGCAAGGACGGGGAGGGGGGCAAGGAGGGCGAGAAGAAGAACGGCAAGTACGAGAAGCCGCCCTTCAGCTACAACGCGCTCATCATGATGGCCATCCGGCAGAGCCCCGAGAAGCGGCTGACGCTCAACGGCATCTACGAGTTCATCATGAAGAACTTCCCCTACTACCGCGAGAACAAGCAGGGCTGGCAGAACTCCATCCGCCACAACCTGTCGCTCAACAAGTGCTTCGTGAAGGTGCCGCGCCACTACGACGACCCGGGCAAGGGCAACTACTGGATGCTGGACCCGTCGAGCGACGACGTGTTCATCGGCGGCACCACGGGCAAGCTGCGGCGCCGCTCCACCACGTCGCGGGCCAAGCTGGCCTTCAAGCGCGGCGCGCGCCTCACCTCCACCGGCCTCACCTTCATGGACCGCGCCGGCTCCCTCTACTGGCCCATGTCGCCCTTCCTGTCCCTGCACCACCCCCGCGCCAGCAGCACTTTGAGCTACAACGGCACCACGTCGGCCTACCCCAGCCACCCCATGCCCTACAGCTCCGTGTTGACTCAGAACTCGCTGGGCAACAACCACTCCTTCTCCACGGCCAACGGCCTGAGCGTGGACCGGCTGGTCAACGGGGAGATCCCGTACGCCACGCACCACCTCACGGCCGCCGCGCTCGCCGCCTCGGTGCCCTGCGGCCTGTCGGTGCCCTGCTCCGGGACCTACTCCCTCAACCCCTGCTCCGTCAACCTGCTCGCGGGCCAGACCAGTTACTTTTTCCCCCACGTCCCGCACCCGTCCATGACTTCGCAGAGCAGCACGTCCATGAGCGCGCGGGCCGCGTCGTCGTCCACGTCTCCGCAGGCCCCGTCCACCCTGCCCTGCGAGTCCTTAAGACCCTCTTTGCCGAGCTTCACGACGGGACTGTCCGGGGGACTGTCTGATTATTTCACACATCAAAATCAGGGGTCTTCTTCCAACCCTTTAATACATTAACATCCCTGGGACCAGACTGTAAGTGAACGTTTTACACACATTTGCATTGTAAATGATAATGGAAAAAAAAAAAATAAGTCCAGGTANCTTTCTGTACGTTCGTTCAGTCTTTAGGGTTGTTTCTTACTCTAACAAGGTGTGGCGTGTCAGCGAGGTGCAATGTGGGGAGAATACATTGTAGCATATAAGGTTTGGAAGTCAAAATTATAGTAGACGTGTATCTAAATAGTGACTGCTTTGCCATTTCATTCAAACCTGACGAGTCTACGAGGGCCGCCAAATTTCCATGTGTGCAGTATTATAAGTTATCATGGATCTAAATGGTGGACGCAGACCTTGAGAACAACCTAAATTATGGGGAGAGTTTTTACATGTTAAACTGTAATTTGTATTTAAGAAACATTCGTAGTACAAAGGTGCCCGAGAAATTATTTTGGCCATTTATTGTTTTGTCGTTTTCTTTTAAACACTGTTTTGTTTTTTTTTTCTTTTCTTCTTTTGTTTACTTTTAGACCAAAGATTGGGTTCTAGAAAATGCACTTGGTATATTAAGTATTAAACAAACAAACAAACAAAAAAATGAAAGTTGTTTCAGTTGGCAGCACCGCTCATTCAAATGAATTGGAAGGGGAGAAAATTAATGATTGCCTTCAGTTTGTGTTGTGTATATTTTGATGTATGTGGTCACTAACAGGTCACTTTTATTTTTTCTAAATGTAGTGAAATGTTAATACCTATTGTACTTATAGGTAAACCTTGCAAATATGTAACCTGTGTTGCGCAAATGCCGCATAAATTTGAGTGATTGTTAATGTTGTCTTAAAATTTCTTGATTGTGATACTGTGGTCATATGCCCGTGTTTGTCACTTACAAAAATGTTTACTATGAACACACAGAAATAAAAAAAAAATAGGCTAAATTCATATATATCTTGATACTTTTGTCTCTTTTATTAAGTAGAGCTAATTTTTAAAAGACCATTAAAGTTCTAGGGAATTCAGAGGCTTTTCAGCCAAATAAAATTTAAACTGCTCCTTTCATTTGAACTGAGACTTTAAAAATTGAGAGTATTTTTTCCACTATGGAATCAAATTTTACAAAGGAGCAGGCTATTTAATAAAAACTAGCTTTAAACAAATTATAGGCTTTTCAGCTGATATCTTTTTAAGTTTCTGTAGATATATACTACAAAAGATCATTTAATTTAATGTGCATAGCTATTTACCTTGTGTTTATTTTAAAATCAGTCAATAGAATGCTTACTTTTTATATATTTTGTTTCAGGTATCTTGTTTATACCACTTGGCAAACTATAAATAAATGTATATGGTTAGATAGAAGTGAATATAATGCACACATACAATATGTAATATATATATATATATATATATAGACACACAAAGCCCTTCAGTTCAGGTAAAATTTGCGCTATGAATGCTGCAAATATTTTTGTTTAAATATTTGTATTTATACTAAGTCAGCATTTATTTTGCTCGTTGTTTACTCACAATGAAAGAGTTCTAATAAAGATGTGCTGAAGTTGCAATATAGATTTTGCTGAAGTGATCACCTGTTGTAATGGCTTGCAGACCAATGTTTATATTTTATTTTTAAATTATAACAATTTAAAATTTTAGATGTTCAGAAGCAGTAAAATGCCTCTTTTCTCATTTTCTTTCATTTTTACAATGTAGAGGTATTTATTTGATTCCCTTTTAGATAAGTCTGTGTAATCGAGAGATTTGTTTCTTTTGCTTACAATCATAATTTTAACTTGACGTATACATATGCGTGCATATATATGCATATATATATATAAATCTGAAACAAAATGAGACATTTTTGAATTGTTTCAGCAGTCCAATTGCTATGACTCTAGAAAATAATTAGAAAACCTAAGTAAAAGGTTTAGTAACTAATTGGATCCTGTGGTGAGTCCGTGGAGGACAAGTTGTTCATTTGTTACAATTGTATAGTCTGAAATGTGTTCTGCAGTAATGCAATAAGCTGGCTGCTACTTACAAAGGGCCCAATGAAAAATAATCTGTCCCCAAGATGTTATCGGCAAACACTTAGAGAGTTGCTCAGGGAAAAGGGAAAAAAAAAAAGCCTAGAAGCAAGGGTGACTCAAATAGATTATATACAGAATAGTTAATATTGGAATATGGGGATGGGTGGATGGTGAATGGAGAGATAGAAGAAGAGAGTGAGAGAGAAGGGCAGGGAGAGAAAAAGGATCTTTAAACTGGAAAAAAAATCCTCTACTATCAAAAGGAAAGAAAGAATGAGAGGAGAGATGTCTAAGAAAGACAGAAGGAAAGATAAGGGCCAGAAAAATTAAAAGAGTTGGAACCAAGTATATACAAGTAGGGAATGGACCAAAGACAGCTAGTTTAATTATGTTCTTTAAGCAGATTGGCCATGATTTTATTTTTTTCGTATGAGAGCAGTTTCACCAAAGATCCAAGTTCCTTGAAATTTAAGTTCTTCAGAGTGAAGCATGAAAGAAAATCCCACAAATAAACTGAATTGTTTTAGAAGCCAAATTTATGGCTGGTATTAAATAGAGTGATAGAGTCCAAGTGAGTGAGGTTAGGCAAAGGAGATCCCCACTGATGCATTTGTGAACAAAAACAGCTGAAAGAAAAGCATGTGTTTAGACTGGAAAAGGTGATGATGTGTTGTTTGCTTTTACCATAGATTTTATTTGTGGAATGAGATTGTACTGGCACAGAAGAAATATAGTCTTGCTGATCAAAAGTTGAAGAGAAAGTTGAACTCTTATATTGAGTTAAAAGGACATAGATGTGGAAGAAAGATTTCTCCCTTGAGTATTTTTTGGGGGGGGGGGCATATTAAATATCTATATTTATTTGTGATAAGTGTTTATTTGCATGATGGAGAAATAGAATTTCAATGCAAATGTCATAGTTTGAGGCCAAGATTAAAACTGACTTCTTTGAATTCATAGGAACTAAGGACTGGAGTGGAAATTCTATTTGGATGAATGTCCAAGTTACATATATAATGGATGTGATAAGTAAAAATGGCTCGTTTAATAGGCTTACTAGATACAAAGGGGGACAGAGAGAAATTTGCAAAGGCCTACTGCGGCCCAATATGAGCATTTCATTTATCTCAGCCTGTCCTATCATCCTTCAAGTTGTCTTCAAAAAACACATGACAGTGTAGTGTGGCATTTAGTAGATTTTTTTTTTTTTTTACAACAAATTGGTTGTAATACTGTGTTGATATTTATTTTCACCAATCTTTGCCAGTTAAAATTAGCTTATGTCAGAAAAAAAAATTTCAAAACTTTTTGAAATGTTTCTTCTTTCATACAACTGTTTTCAATGAGTTGAAAATTGTTCTTTTTGAGATTTTGGAACTAAAAGTGATCACAACTTACAACTTGAAATCCCAAATCATGGTTTATTTCTAGGTTTATTTTACTTGAATTTGTCTGTTATAAAGTTAATACAATTAAGAAAATGATTTAGAGCAGGAGAGAATTCTTCCAAATATGTTTCAAGATTTAATACAAATATCTTTATGACCATGGAAGATTTCACGTGGTTTCTATGACTTGCGTAAAATCAAGGGTAGAGAGGCAAAAAATGAGTCCTGTAATGTATTGATTAGTTATACATAAATTTAAGTTGGATATCTCACCCACATAGGTGCATGAGTCAGGCATATTTAGAACTCTAAATATATAAATGTGATTTCTAAAAAGTGTATTTTCTGCAACACTGCTGAGGAACTTGAATGCATTGAAGTAATTTTGCTTTTGAGATATTAATTTTATGAATAGCTGAAGTAGATGCTTGTGTTTGGGACTAAATGCCTGTTGAAAAAAATAGGCTAACAAAGGGTGAAGGTGAAGATCATTAGAGGTTTTAGAGCTGGCTGAGACGGGTTGCTGGGGTTGTGTAACTGTGCCTAGAGGGCGGGGTTCCTGTACATTCCTGCTTCACCAGATAACCTGCCCCCAACACCCTCCAGCTTCTGCCAGACAGATGGAACTCTCCAACGTGAAAATCTGCGCGGCCATTCCAACACGCAGGGTAGGTGAGACTTGCATTAAAATTCTACCCTCCTTTTCTCCTACGTGCAGCCAGATCCTGAAGATATGGAAATAACAGGGGTCATCCAGATTCTCCTTTCCCTCACACACGCATGTCTGCATCCTAAGAGCTACCTACCTGTAAGATTCAAAGGCACTGTGTGGCTTTCACAGCACTTCATTTTCGATTCTTGTGTGTGTGTGTGTGTGCTTTTTCCCTCTTTTAAGGCTTTCTTTTCTCATCGCGACCATTCCCCCTTCCCAACCCCCTCCCCAG